CAAACATGTTTAAGCCCTGTAAATGTGGGACATTCCTCCATGTCCTTATAAATGAACATTGTTAAGTGGGTGCTGACCAGGGTGGCTAAAAACAACTCTCTGCCTGTTGTGCCAACAAATTATTCTGTGACAGGAAAATTACACATACACATTCCAAGAATTGGTGACTTTATCTTCCACAGGAACAACAATATAGAGGCATTTTCTCTCTGTTCTTTTGACCTACCTGATATTGTAAGATCAGCTGCATATCCTGACCACATCCCACATAATCAAGTAAATTCTACTTGCAAGAAGTAGCTTGCAAAGCATTCTATATTCTAGTAATCCTAGAAATCATTTGGACTAAAAGTTGAACTTTACTTTGGCGCTGGCAATGGGATAGAATTTCCCCTCACACCTGAAAGCAGCAGACTGGCTTTGGGAAGGACAGTTGATGTGATATAAGAACAAAGGAATAGTTGCGAGGGCTGGATTGGGAGAGAGAGACATGGGATTTGAACTTTAGTTCTGCTATGTATATGGCTTGCATCTTACACTCTGCAGTTGCTGGATTTCTTCATTAATTATTTCAATTAAACTGGTTTCTCCAAAATGTGTTCTTGAATCAGTGCCTGTGAGGCTTTGGTTCTCATTGGGAAGAGCTTGACAAGAACCGTGGTAAATCAGGCCAAGACTTATTTTAGTCCAGCATTTTGTTTCTCACCGTGGCCAATCAGATGCCTTTAGGTTGCTCATAAGCCGGAGGTGGAGACATACCGCTCTCCTGCCATTGTTCCTCTGTCTAACTGGTATTTGGAGGCATATTGTCTCTCAACACAGAAGTAAGATTGAGCTTTCAAGATAGTCTTTGATAGACTTGTCCTCCATGAATCTGTTTTAAATTTTAAAGCCTTTTAAAGCCATCCAAGTAGTGGCCATCACCATATCTTATGATAATGAATTGCACAGGTTACGTGTTATATGAAAGAAGTCAATTTATTTATTTAGCCTGTTTTAAATCTTCAGATCAGTTTCATTGGGTGATCACTGGTCCTAGCGTTTTGAGAAAGGGAGCAAACTTCTCTCTGGCCAATTCTGTCATGCCATGCATGATTTTATGCACTTTGTTCGTGTCCTCCTGATCACCCTTTTTTTTTCCAGAACAAAAGAGTCCCAAAAATTCTACTGTTTTCTTACAAGGAGATGTTCAAGTCCTCTGATCATTTTGGTTACCCTTTTCAATGCTTTTCCAACTCTGTTATATCCTTTATCAAACATAGTGACCAGAACTATATAAGTATTTCAGATCTGGACTTACCATAAATTTGTATGAGGGCATTATAATGTTGGCACTTTTTATTTTCAGTCCTTTTCCTTCTCATCCCTAGCACGGAATTTGCTTTTTTCACAGTTGCCATATATCTTATTCCATGACTGCTATGTTTATGCTGGAGCATTTGATGGTGAACATTGTCAAAGACTTTTTGACAGTCTAATATACAACTCAACAGGTTTACCTCCATCCATGTGCCTGTTGGCACTTCCAAAAATTCTAGAAGTTTTGTGAGGCATGATTTACCTTTGCAGATTCCATGCTGATTTTTTTCAGCGATGCTTGTACCTCTATATGCTTAGTGATTTTTTTCTTTGATGACTGTTTTTGCAATTTGAATTAAGATGACCAGTCTGTAATATCCTGGAGCTTCACTGGACCACTTTTTAAAAATTGGTGCCACATTGGTTACAGTAATGAGCCTGATTTGAGTGACAAGTTACATATTTTTACCAAAATGCCAGCAATTTCACATTTGAGTTTTTCAAGAACTCTTGTGTAGTCACCACTGGGACCCAGTGACTGTTACTGTGCAGTTTCTGAAGAAGTCCTAAAATAACTTCTCTTATTACCTCAATTTGTTTTACTCGTTCTGATGTCCTCCTTGAGAAAGTCAGTGCAGGCTCAGGTCCTATGTCTTCTCTATATCTTCATATTCTTCAGCATCTCTTTCACTTCTTTGTCACCTAATAGCCCAAGTGCTTCCCTAGATGGTTTTCTGCTTCAACTATATTTAAATAAATTTTTATTGTTCTCCTTAATTCTTTTTATCCTACATTCCTCAAATTCTTTTGTTTTGTTGTTTGTTTTTTGCATTCCTTATTATCACCTTAACAGTTTTTCTGCCGGTGTATGTGCAGCTTCCTAGACATTACTAGAGAGCCATGCTGGCCTCTTCCTGCATTTGGCTGACTCTTTTTTATATCGTGGAATATATTCCAGCTAATGCTCAATTATTGTGATTTTAAATAATCTCAAGTATTATGGAAATATTTAGCCTTTTTTACTTTTCCTTTCAGTGTCTTTTCCATTAGTCTCCTCATTTTTAAGAAGTCTCCCCTTTTGTAATTAAACGCGACTGGGTTAGACCCTGCTGGTAGTTTCCCACTTACACATGCACTAAATGTAAGACCATTGTGATTACTTTTTCTATTGGTTCTATAATACTTATATCTTCCACCAGATTACAGTCACCAATTCAGTTTAAATCTAAAGTTGCCTCCATTCTGGTCATTTCCAAGACCATCCATTCTAAGGCACATACAATTCTATCTCCAAGAGAGAATAATGATGTTGGGGATCAGATGGAACAGCTGGAGTTACTAGTTTTTCCATCAATATCTGCCTCCTGAGGAGGTAGCTTTACTCCACTTGTGATCTTCTTTCTTACAGAACAATGGTTTTCAAAATCTGCTATGGAGAACATTCAATTTTCTTTGAAACTCACCAGAGATTCCCAATAAAAATAACAGTAATGGAGATTAATAATAGTGAATCTTAGTGATAAGATTCACTGAAGAATAGCAATAACACAAAAATTAATACATTAAGAAGCAACTTTGTATTTGGTTCCACCCATCATGGATTTTCTGCTTCACACATCATTTTGGAGGAAAACAATTATTTCACACAATGGAGTCCCAAGTTATAACTATCTTTGAGATATTATTCAACACAATTGATCATGCCATTTATATTACTATAGAATCGGCAAGAAAACTGACACAGTTTTGGAATGAAGTGCATGTTGCTAGGCATAATTTGTGTATGTATGGTTAAAGTATAGCTCCATCATACATTTGCACAATGCCAATGACTGCAATCAATTTATCAAAGAATGTGTAAGCTCTTTTCTGGGCAGATTCACAAAAAAACCTTTTTCCACCAGGAGAACCTGGGATGGGTGGGAAGCCAAGGAGGCTGCAGATCATATCGTTGATTTTACAATTAAAAACAGGACACTTACAGAAAACCCTCAAATGACATACTGAAGAGATTAGATTTCTGTCAGGTCAGGGCCAGACAAACAACAAAAATCAAAAAATGTTTTTACTACTATCATAAACAGGTTTCTGACTTCCATGCAGCTGTTATTTATTTTAGTTTATTTATAAATCAAATTTATACACACACACACACACACACACACACCCATATAGGTGACTCTAGGTGACTCACAAATAAAAACTATAAAAACAGTAAAAAAAAAAAAAAAACCTTACAAAACAAAGTTAAAAGATGGAGAGAGCATCCTCAAGTCACCAGACACCCCCAGTGCTGGAAGCCCCCATTGGATCCCCATGCTAGTTGGCAGAGCCAGGTCTTAACCTCAGGGGGCAGGATATTCCACAGGGCAGGGGCAATGGTAGAAAAGGCTCTCCTCCTAGACCCTGCCAGTTGAAATTCTTTTGCCAATGGGCTTCTTAACATGCTCTTCCTGCTGGACTGGGTGGGATGGACTGATATAACCAGGATGAGGTGGTTCCTCAGATAACCTGGGCCATGCCATGAGGGGCTTTAAAGGTCATAACCAACACCTTGAATTGGACCTGGAAGCAAACTGGTACCCAGTGCAGCTCATGCAGGAGAGGTGTTACATTTGCAGCCCTAAGGGTACCCATAACTGCTCGTGCCACGGCATTCTGCACCAGCTGCAGCTTCCGGATACTTTTGAAGGGTAGCCCCATGTAGATCACATTGCAATAGTCCATTTACCTACCAAAAACATGTAGATTTGTTTGGTTAATGCAATTAATATCCTATTTAGCTTTTTGAAAAATGGGTGCTGCCTGAAGAGTTAATATGGATGAAATGCTGAGCATGCCTCATATCCCTGCTAACCAGTCCATCTCTCAGCTGTCATTCCTGCCTCTTCCACATCCAGCAATGTAGCTGTCTGTGCCTCTATTTTCTCTGGGTAATGTTAAAGACCTTGGTCATTGCTTCCTGCCCATTTAGGGCTTGTCGTCTAATGACAGCAATTTTCAGTTACCTTTTGCTGTTTTGCAGTATTGTGTTTAAAAAAATGCTTAGTTCTATGCCCAGCTGTAGCTACATACAAACAGCTTAATGATTTGAGACTAAAATACTTAAATTTAAGATCTTTTCTTGTCTCACAGATATGTATTTAAATTTTGAGATCCAGTTATTGTGGGAAGCCAATTAAAGCATTGACCCAATGTTTACCTACTTTGAAAGGCAAATTCGATGTTGGAGACCATTAGGAAAAAAATAAACCATCAGTGGTAGTACCAGCTTAGTCAGAACTCAGTCAGAACTTAGCATCATCCTGGCAGTCTCCTACATGAGTACTGATCATGTCTAATCTTGCTTAGTTTTTCTGAGATCAGCCAAGGTTGGCTAGATGATGCTACCTGCTGTAGACTTACCAAGTAATAGTACAGTTCTAAACAGAAATTGGCAATAAGCTTAAATTCAGTGAGACTTTATTATATTTAATCATGCTTGTGCTTGCTTTGCACCAGTATCGTCCATTTTTAACAGTCACTCTTACTTCCTCATATTAGCATCTGCTCTGCCCTCAGCTAGTAGTTTTTCTTTTTTGAGTTCCTATTTGAAACACTCAACCGCAGCTATAGTTTGAATAAAGGATTGTGCATGTTATGTCTCCATTAAATTGAAACATGAAAATAACCAATTCATTTTCTCTCTCTTATCTGACCAGATTAAAAAAAAGCAACAAGAAGTAGTAGGCTTTTTAGAGGCCAACAAAATTGATTTTAAGGAAATGGACATAGCCTGTGATGAAGACAACCGGAAATGGATGAGAGAAAATGTTCCAGGTGAAAAGAAGCCGCAGAATGGAATCCCTCTCCCTCCCCAGATATTCAATGAGGAACAGTATTGTGGGGTAAGGAAAAAATAATAATGTGGTTAAGGGGTAATGTGTTTTAGAAGATGTACATATATGCTTCATAAAGTTTGTGAAAAAAAGATTTCTTGGTCCAAATTAATTTAAGCCCCCACCACCACTACAAAGCAGGAAGATGCTAAAAGGGAAAGACCATACAAAAAGTATGGTACATAGTTTTGAGAATCAGCTGCTAGATGTATGGACATAGAAAGCTGGAGAGGTACTTTTATTGACCAGAGGGTTCATGGTGGTCTCATGAAATAGTTGTCCTAGAGGGGGCTTGCTATTCATAAGATGGTTACCATGCCAGTGTCAGCCTTGAGGTAGGCCACACCCGGAAACAGGCTCCACAAGGACTACTAGAACTCTGTTGTTGCAGGCTGTAATAACAGAATCTTGAAAACCTGACAGATTCTCTCTCCCCACTTTCATACAAAAGAAATCAAGGCAGTGATGGAATGGTGACTTTTAGGGTTAATTTGAAGAAGACAGCAGAACATTACCTATGGCCCCAGAATTGTCCTTCACTAGTTGCTGAGCAGATCATTAAGTTGCAAACTGTGTTCGAATTGCCTTCCCCTTGTATATTGTGCCCAGTATCAGCTAGAGAGAGAAGTAAAAGCTCTTGGAGAATGGAATGCAGCGGGAAGCTCTTGTAACTTAGATAAGGTCAGCTCATATTTCCCTTAGCAACAACCAGTGCCCACCCTCTGGGTATTAGTATCCACCTTTTTAGGAGTGTTTTAACTGTGTATACCAATAAACTTTCATGAACCTATGATGTAATGATTATCTGACTGTAGCTGTTTAAAAACCTGATGATTTGCATGGAGTGCAGTGCTTGCCTTGGAAACTAATTTGCAAGTGCCCTTTACTCTGCAGAATAAAGTTATTAAAGAGATTTCCACCTTGTGTGTTTAATTGGGCGTGGCACGCTAGGTCCATGAACTCAGAAGTTTCCTAGGACAACAGCATGGCAATCTTAAATTTCTTTCCACTCATCCCTCCCTATCAGGGCTAGGCTGATAAGATGTTTACATAACAACTGTTGAATACCTTCTTCAAGGCCATCTTCATACTCTTCTACAGTGTGGACAATCACAAAACACCAATTTATCAAAAGTAAAAGTGAGGTTGCTACACATCCAGAGGCATCCATGGAGGGCAGGTTCAAAAAAAAAAAAGTCAAAATAGAAATTGTGTCTGCGTGGTCAAAGCCCCATCTCATACATACAGAGAGATGGGCTTTCAATTATGCAGTCACAATCATTTTCACTTTTTTAACCTTCCATTATGGTCACTGTCGCACCTATCATACTTGTTCTCATCCCAGGATATTCTTGATATTGTCTTTTGTTGTTCTTTGCAGAGCATATGGGCATATTTCCAAATATAACATTTTACTGCAGCCTCCCACCAATTTTATTTTTTAAGAATTCACATGATACTTGAAATAATTGTGTAATGAAGTTGTGCTAGGAGCGATGCTTTGCTTTGTCAGCTTCCCATTTTTAAAACTAAAATAATCAGAAAGTTAAATTGGGATGTCTGGCAAGAGAGGAGTCCACAGGCACAGTGGTATCCACGGGCATGAAATTCCCTACTGCTGCTTTTCATGACTATAATCCTTTTCTACATTACTTGGAAAAATGACTGAGGGCTTTGAGGTTGAGTGCTACCAATATGCTAATAAGACCCACGGCTCTCCCGCTTTTCCTTTCCAACTGATTGCAGGCAAACTGTGAAGGTTCTGAGCATTGTTGAGATGTAATTATGGGCTTGTTTTGCAAACTAACAAACTTAAGCTAAACAAGACAGTGGTACTGTCAGTAGAAGAGACAATCCAGAAACAAATAGAATAGTATTGTCTGTACAAATGCCCACAGCAATCCTGGGGTTTCCACCCTCTCCCTGTGATCCAAGCTATTACCCCAGGTAGAAACAGCTCCACCTGCGCAAGTAACTACATGCTGCCACCTGCTGTTCTCAATTAGGGCAATGCCTCCTCATCTGTAATCTCGACAGGATAAAACAAAAAATCTCCTTTCCCAGAAAGAAACTTTTAAACAGATGGCTCTTTTTCCCAGAGCTCCTAGGCCCAAACTGTTTTGAAGCACATGGTGCTAGGTAAGAAACCCAATACAGGTAGCCCTTGTTAGTGACCACACCTGGTACCAGTAACTTGGTTGTTAAGTGAAGCAGTTGCTAAGTGAAACCACAACTGTGCTTATGATCTTACTTCAGCTTTCCTTTGCTTTACAGACCTGTGTAGGTTGTAAATGCAAGGATTGGCCACAAAGTTACTTTTTTATTATCCTAACTGCAAATGGTTGCTAAATGAGGTGGTCACTAAATGAGGACTATGCACTGGAGTCATGAGGAAAAGAAGGATTCTTATTTTAATAAGAACAAAGGAAAGATTTGAGGGAATTGTTTAATTGTAACAATTTACATGAAGCTGAGATCTGCATTCTCAAGATAGCATTCAGCAATCTGTAGGCAGCCTGAGCAAGCAGAGAGAGAATTGGAGCAGATACACAGTTGAGTGAGCAGGAGTTAAAAGAAATTACCCCTCGTGTAATTAACCAAAAGTTCCTTGCCAGCTGGTTCCAATTCTCTCAGGATTTTTTAGGCTCTAAGCTTTAGTGCAGGCAGGTCAAACTCCCCTTGAAGGATAAGGTTTATAGCTCAGGATTGCTCTTTGACTTTCTGTTGCTTCTGGCTGATTGAGTGATTACTGCAGCTCAGGCGCCTTTATGCTGATGCATCAGAGGATTTTACAGGAGGAAGGGGGTTTGCCTGTAGTTACCCATGTGCCTAGTTTAGATTATTCAGTGCTGTCTAGAAACTGGCTACAGCAAAATACAGTTGCAGTATTGCTTTCTAGATTCCTGTAACGGAGTGCTTTGTTCTCTGGTTTAGTTCATCTTGTTGTGGCTTTCAGTTTCTTTTCAGCCCAGTTCAGTGTGCTTGGTGTGTATGTATTTCAGTTTGACACACAGGCTGCTTCAATCACAGCTAACTCTAGCAGCGAATGCTCTACCTTCCTAACAAAGGTTAAACAATATATTAAAAAATGAACCATTTGATGTACAATGAAAACTCTCTCCAAAACAAGCACCACCTGCAGAGGAGCCATCTACATTTCACTCTGAAGGCTTTCTGGAACAACCAGGTTTAATTGTTTTCCTGAATTCCATAACATCCTAAATGATTTGGGACCAGGATGACTGAAAGTTTAATTTTTCTCCCATACCTGATTCTCCATTAAATTTGTATGTGGAAGTCCTTTTTTGCATCCCACACACTTAAGGATTAAATACACAGTCTTTCTTAGTTCTGCCATCTACAGCCAGTTTAGCCCTATCCTTCCAAAGGAAGTCATGCAGTGCTTTGGATTTGATTCCCAAAAGACATTTCAGGCATGTGAGATAATAACTCTCTGTAATGAGTTGAAAAACAGTATAGAAACATTTCTATAAACTTATATATTTTAGAAGTGAACTGAACAAGATCTTGTGTTCTTACTCACAAACTCATGACTGCTCCAAAAAAGTCCACAATAAAAACATGGCACTGCCAGAGTGGGATTGCCACCTATGCACTGCTGAAAAAGAATTTCATAGAGTGTGTGTGTGTGCGCGCGCACCTTTGAGTCAGTGTTGACTTCTGGCGACTGCCTGGACTAATCCCTGCAGTTTTCTTGGCAAGGTTTTTCAGAAGTGGTTTGCCTTTGCCTCCTTCCTAGGGCTGAGAGAGAGTGACTGGCTCAGAGTCACCCAGCTGGCTTTGTATCTAAGGTGGGACTAGAACCCAGGGTCTCCCAGTTTCTAGCCTGATGCCTTAAGCATTACAGTACACCAAACTGGATCTTCATAGAATGAGAGTTCACAGAACTCTCTCATATACTGTCATATAGTTTCATAGAATGAGAGTATGCTAAAATGAGCATGTAGTAATTTATAATTAAATTTGCAAACCTTCCTTACCCAGCCCCTATTAATTCCAGGGCAGGCAAAAACCACTTTTTTACACATGGTGAATTTGCTGCCCAGTAGATTCCCTGTTGAACTGCTGGGAGGAAGAAGGCTATGGCATGAGAGGGAATGGGGAAAGATGGATGGATGAACATGGAAGAGAAAATAAGTTTCACTGTTTGCGATCTGTCTATTCTTGGTTTTGGCTGGCAGCAATATAGCCTATAACCATCTTCCCCCAAAAGGAAGGCTTTCCACTCCATTCTAGTCTATTTACAAGTAGTCCCCGGGTTAAGAATGTCTGATTTACGGACGACCCATAGTTAAGGAGCCTATTGTAGCAGAATTCGAGTTAAATACACCATGATTTGAGTGAAATACACAATGGTTCAAGTTAATTACACAATACTACTTATACAGTATTATACAATAATATTGTTCTGGCCTACATACAAATTTGACTTAAGGGCAGATCTTGGGAACGGAACTCATTCTTAAACTGGGACTACCTGTATTCACAAGTATGTTCTGGTCATAAAATATCATTTTGCATGTTAATTGAAAGCCTTCTCTTTGCTTTTTGTTCTTATTGAGGAATAGCCTTTAATTTCTTCTTTCCTACAGAGGAAGGAGTAGATCTTAATTACTGATTAAGGTTCTTTCTAGATTGCATAATCTGATCTTCAGGGACAGTCCAGACATGCTATGTCTAAAGTTCCTTGTAAATAGATAAATTTCAGATTCTGGACCTCAACTATTCCTAAAAAGATCAGTTTTACATTATTTCAGGTTTCTCATGACTGATCCAGTTCTAAAAATTCAACAGAATAAAAGCGGAAACAACATTTTAGCCTATTGTGTTGTGCAAATGCAGTCTATGTGGCTAGTTTATGGTTCAGGGTGTCATATAAATTCAGAAAACTGGATTGATTGAATAAACCATGATTTAATTAATAATGGTTAAACATGCTGTGTGAACACAGCTAATGTAGTTTATTGAATAATGATAATACATGGACTCTAAAGTAAATCCTGGTGAGAATGCTATTGTTCCTCTTATAAATGTCATCTTACTCATGAACAATACAAATTAAGCAAGTTCATAGAGGAAAAGAAATAGGGCTGTGCAAAGCATTTGAGGTGTTTCACAAAGCAGGTTGACATTCTGAGTTAGCCACTTTCTCTGAAAATGTTGGGAAGTACTTTGAAAGCTTACCCAGATTGTCCATTCATATCTGCACAGCCACATTCCCACCAGTCCATGCTAAAAATAAGTATGATAGTTTCAATCAGGTGATATTTTATGGATAGAGTAAGTGTTAGGTTCATTTCATATTAGAGATTGACTGCTAAACATAAGCATGACAAATATCAGGGTGAATTTTATGGAAAGTGTTAGTCTTCAGATTATAATACATTCCATTTTAGTGCTCGCCCAAGGTTTCTGTGAAGTACACTCATTACAGTATTGCTAGGATAAGATTAGAGTTTGGGTTAATCTTCCTTAAAATCTATGCTAAAAATGAATGTAACAATTAAACATAACGTTTTTTTCCCCCACTAGAGTAAGTGTAAGCTTAATCTAACAGTATAGATTTAATACTGGGACAATGGTTAGTATAATAATGAGGAGGTTAGATTTGAGGTGAAGCTTCCTTGAAATGTATGCTAAAGCTAAGTATTGTGGTTAGAATCAAGGTGATATCTTTATGGAAAGTGTTGTATTAGGTTTAGAATACCTTCAGGGTTCTGGCCAGTATTTTCATGGTTGTTAGGGTAAGGTCAGTTTTAGGCTTGTGCTTCCTGGAAATCTATGCTAAATATAATCATGACCTTAGAGTCACATGATTCTTTATGTATAGAACAAGGGTTAGCTTCATCTTACAGTATGGATTGAATATTAGAACCCTAGTTATTTTAAATATTATTCAGGTATCACAGAGAGATTAGGGTGTGAATAAGGTTAGTATTAACCTTCTTTGAAATCTATACTAAAAAAGAGCATGACAGCTGGATTCAGGTTGATTTTTTTTTATTGCTACAGGAAGTATTAGGTTCATCTCATGGTAGAGATTGAATGTTGGGACAATATTTAAAGTAAACATTATTATGGGAATCATAGTTTGGTTAGAGTTAGGGTTAGAATTAGGGTTAAGCTTCCATGAAATCTATGCTAAAAATAAGGATGACAGTTGGATTCCAGGTGATTTTCTATGGATAGAATAAGTAAGATTAATCTTATGGTAGACACTGAATGCTAGGAAAATGGTTATTGAAATATTATTAATGGCATCGTGGGCAAATTAGGGTTAGGATTAAGCTGCCATGAAATCAGTACTAAAAATGAGCCTGACGGTTGGATTCAGGGTAATTTTTTATGGGTAGAGTAAGTATTAAGTTGATCTAATGGTAGACATTGAATGCTAGGACAGTGGTTAGCATAAATATTGTTATGGGCATCATGGGAAGGTTAGGGTTAAACTTCCACAAATTTAGTGTTAAAAATGAGCATAATGGTTAGATTCAAGTTAATTTTCTGTGGATGGCATAATTGGATTACCTTATGGTACAGACTGAATGATGGCACACTGGTTACTGTAAATATTATTATGGGCATCATGGGGAGACTAGAGTACGATAGGGATTGGACACTTGTGGGGAATAAAATTATGGAAGAACTCTCATGTCCATCACTTTGAACTTTCAGAGAAAAGGTGGGATATAAATAAACCTGGGTGTAAATTTTACTGAATTTAGTACAGCATGCTTCTGAGTATATTTGCTTAAGATTATCATCTATTGGTATGAATCCTTAGTTAAGAAATTAGTTAGTTAAGCCTCTCTCAGTAGTTTTCTAATTCAATGTTATAGATACCTGTAAAAAATTATTGCTGCAATCTAAGCAAATTTACCATGGAATAAATCCCACTGAACACACTGAGATTCATTTCTCAATAGGCAAGCAGAAGATGGCACTTTAAGGAAGGTGCATATACAGAAACAATACTCTGAAATATTCCCTTTGTTTTAGGGCTACCAGATATGGGCTGCAAAACTCCAGATGAACATTTGGTGGCAGCACTGAAACATAATTGTATTTCTCTGGTATCAACTAGTTGCTGTCTGATTTTTTGTGGCCCTAATTTAAGCAACAGTTAAAATAATGTACAGCCTTCAACCTTGTAGCTCTCCATATACTGAATATTATTTCCACTCCCATAATCTTCAACCAGTATAACCCTTGGGAACAGCTATATAATTATTGATAAGAACAGCTGCTATAGAATATCCGCATAGCCAGCAAATTAGATATATACAGTATCTGTGACTCTTTAAGATGTTA